AAAAAAAAAAAAAAAAAAAAATGAACTCGTACACGTGAAAGTGGAATAAGAAAAGGACAACAAGGGCTCTTAAATAAAAAAAAATTACAACAAAAGGATAATACTCGTTAACTTATAAAATACTCCTAAGTTTAAATGGATTTGATAGCGAAGGACTCCTATAATCGGAAGGAAACTGAAAGAACTCGAATTATATAATTGGATGATTTTCCATATCAAATTCCTAAATATTAGGCAAATAATTAAATAATTATCCCTAAATATTAGAAAAATAATTAAATGAATAATCCAATATATTTGAAAAATAACTAAAATTATTATTTTGTCCAATATAATATATATTTTTAAAGGATAAAAAAGGCGAATGATATCTCGTTAAGGATTTGTGCTTTTAGAATAGTATAAGTTAGTGAATTTTAATCCGTGATTGTAGGTTAGTTATATATATTTCTTTTAAAATTACTATTTAATATATAAGAGATTTTCCAGTAATTACCATATATACAAACTAATTATATAAATATTTTTATACTGTCAAAGTATATGGAGTATAACTTATCCGTGACTTTTTTATTCTTAGGGGTCATTTGTTTGGAAGAATTAAGTGGGTTATCACGATATAAAATTTAGTCTTAAATATATCCTGCGTTTGATTGAGGTTATTAGTTAAAATCAGGATAACTTTTATACTACAAACATGAGATTATTGTCTGTCTTATCTGCTATAAAGGATAAACAATCCTGTTTATAATCCCAGGATAGCCTGGTTTTGAACCAAACAACACCTTATGGAGTTGTTTTCAACTCTTCCATGGCCATATATCTTTCAGTGACTTCATCCACAACATTTAATCCCTGGAAATAGATTTTATTTTTACTTATAATAAAATTATGGAAATGAGTATTGAAACTGAGATATAATTTTGAGAAAAAGAAAATAGAGATAAAAAATACAACCAGGTGGATCTACTATCAAGTATGCATGTATAGGCACGATGAACAAATATAGAAGCTCTTGCATGTTCAGACACATGCATCCAGTAGAACTGAATATTCTAAAAACACACACACACAAAGGAATTCATTCCATTAGGTTAATTAATTAAAAAAATTAATAGAACATTTTTCTTTTTAGCAAGTCAGAGCTAGGATGTCATGAGTACATTCTAAACAGAATGATTAAATACAAGCTGGAGCCTTACTGATTTAAACCTTTAGAAAATAAATGAAGATTCCTTCTACATCTCGTTCCTGCATGTTTTCTCTCGTAACATGCTAAAGTCAACCATTCTTAACATTTCTCTTTGCACTACCCAATATCAATCTGCTTGAAAAGAAGAAAAAAAAAAAATAGAAATTGCTAATATTGGGGACATACCTTAAAAAAGAAAAAAGGGCAGCCCGGTGCCCTAAGTTCCCGCTATGCATAGGGTTCGGGAAAGGGCTGAACCACAAGGGTCTATTGTTGTACGCAGCCATACCCTATATTTCTACAAGAGATTGTTTCCACATACCTTAAAAAAGAAAAAAGGGCAGCCCGGTGCCCTAAGTTCCCACTATGCATAGGGTTCGGGAAAGGGCTGAACCACAAGGGTCTATTGTTGTACGCAGCCTTACCCTACATTTCTACAAGAGATTGTTTCCACGGTTCGAACCCGTGACCTCCTGGTCATATGGCAGCAACTTTAACAGTTAAGCCCTTCATTAGGGACATACCTCTTGTCCATATTTTATTGTCTTTTAAGGTTTTTATACAACGATTAAGAACGGCATTTAATAGCCTTAACTAATCGTACGAGCGTCTGTCTAAACTTCCCTTTATCTCTTTGTTAAATATCTTACTTCATTAACACTCAACTAATTGGAGCAATAAGATTAGATTTGAAGGGTAAAAAAAGTATAATGACTTCTTACTTTCTTAAAATATCAAAAATATTTAAAACAAATAATTAAGTTTTCTAAAATGACTAATATTTGAGAGGGGGATGGAGAGTTTAACAAGTTATAATTTTTTGGCATGTTATTGGAATTAAGTCAACCCTGCAACTAGCTATATATCAAGTAGAATATTATCACTCATCTCTGGCATGAAAAATGCAAAGGGAGTAGCTCTATATTTGATTATAAATACCACAATTTGTTTCACATACCTTCAACATTGGGAAATACAGAAAAACAAATAAACTTTATTTCCTACTTCTAACAATACAATGGCTTTCTCAAGGCATATTGTAGTGCTCATTCTTCAATTGATGCTTGTCCCTTTTGCTTTTAACCTTTGTAATGCACAAGGCTTGAAATATGGCTTCTACAAAAAAACATGTCCTAGTGTTGAATCAATTGTGAGAAAGACAACTGCTCAATTCATATCTAAGGCACCAACTCTAGCTGCTCCTTTGCTTAGGATGCACTTCCATGATTGCTTTGTTAGGGTATGTTTTTATTTCTCATTTTCTTGCCGCCTTTATTTTTTTTCGATTTCTCACCCGTTATCTAGTATTCACATCATTGGAGATCGACTAGTCTGGACTCGCTCCGCGTAAGGCCCAGTAAAGGAGAAAAATGCTACCTACTAGGATTTTTTCGAGCCCGAATTCGAAACTCAGGTTAAGGGTAGAGGGATCTTATCCATCCCACCATACACGTTGTATTGTAGCCTCTAATATTAATGCTTTGAATGACACTATTCTTTAAGCATATAAAGATTTATTTTGTATTATTATTATATATTATTGTTGATGTTATTATTGTTATTATCATTATTACTCTTTGCATTTCATTTATATGACATTCTTTAATTCCCTTTTAGTTTGTTCCGGATTTTTAAAAATACTTTAATTTTTAACTTCCCATTATCGCCTTAATGACATGCTCTTGTAGTCGTAGAAATGTTGTGGCATTTTTGGAATAATAAGTTCTAAGAGTACTTTTTATATGTATCAGAAGTTGTTTTTTCCCTTTTTTTAAACTGCGTGTGTTCAGTCACATATTGCTTTATAAAATAAAACCGATGAAGTATATTTTTTATTAGAAAATTGTTATTGGAAAGGAATGTCTTCTTGACATACACATTGTTTTTATAGGGATGTGATGGCTCTGTAATGCTAAACTCAACCAAGACTAATCAAGCTGAGAGAGAAGCCATTCCAAACCAATCTCTAAGAGGATTCCAAGTGATTAATGGTGTAAAATCTGCACTAGAAAACAAATGCCCAGGTGTTGTATCTTGTGCAGATATAGTAGCCTTAGTAGCTCGGGATGCAGTTTCTATGGTAAGATCTCATGATATTATCTTTCGATAACCGAAATATCTCAGACAGCCAATGGTGCACGATATAACCTAGCTCAGTGGATAATATATAAGTCCGCATTTTTACCTTCTTCACTTAAACACCAGACTGTATTAATTACTGCTATGTTTTATTACACCAGAGTTGAAGTGTTAATTACATTTATATAATTTGATTTTACAGATTAAAGGACCATATTGGAAAGTTCCTTTGGGAAGAAGAGATGGGAGAGTGTCAAAAATGTTAGAAGCCTTGACCCTTTTACCACCTCCATTTGCTAACATTTCTTCCCTTAAATCAAATTTTGCCTCTGTTGGTTTGAATGCAAAAGACCTTGTGGTTCTATCAGGTAATTGAACTTTGACTTATATATCAATGTATTTTAATATGGCGTTACATATGTTTACTTGTAATTATCTTTTTGGTACATGATATATATTTTGAATTAAAATCTTTACATTATCAGTATAAATTAAACAAGTTAAACTCTTTTAAATATAGTAAATATAACACATATACTCAGTCTCATTATTTACTAAGACTTGGTCAAATGTACCAGCTAATTAGGTGAATGAATGAGTATTGTACATTTGGTGCATACAAGAAAAATCCCACTAATTCCGAGATTATAACGCTCTGGGTAGTTCAAGGTCAAGATACTGTTGGTCAACCAATTAATATGGCGTGTGAGGTAAAACAATTATTAGAAAATAAGCGAGTTAGGGTTGTAGCTATGAGTGTTACAGACGGTCTAACGAGAAGAATGGAAATGATTGATGCAGGAACTCCTATAAGTGTTCCGGTCAGGGAAGCGACTCTGGGACGAATTTTTAACGTGCTCGGAGAGCTTGTTGATAATTTAGGGCCTGTAGCTTGTACACTTATATTAAATGTACTATATATAGTTAGTCAGTGTCCAATTCTATTAGGTTACTAATTTGTGCTTATCTTATTTTTTTTTTTAATTATCTTATAACTGATCTAATTGTGTAAATATTTTTATTATTGTCAGGAGGACATACAATTGGAACTTCTCATTGTTTCGCTTTCACAAACAGAATGTACAATTTCACAGGGAATGGTGATGCTGATCCAACAATGGATCCAAACTACATTGCTCGTTTGAAGCTAAAATGCAGTCCAACTGATGTAACAACACTTGTAGAAATGGATCCAGGAAGTTTCAAAACTTTTGATGAAAAATATTACACACTTGTGGCTAAAAGAAGAGGGCTTTTTCAATCTGATTCTGCACTTCTTGATGATATTGAGACCAAAGCTTATGTTAAACGTCAAGCTCTTACCCATGGTAAAACATTTTTCAAAGATTTTGGTAAATCTATGGTGAAAATGGGCAAGATTGGTGTCTTGACTGGTCAAGCTGGTGAAATAGGAACATTGTGATTTGTAATATAATCAGCTATATTTGTAATATTTTATGTTTTGTAATAATCTTTATAAATGTAATTCTTGTGGATTACATGTGGCATTTTTACTTCTTACGAGTGTTAAATGGATTTATAAATAAAGGTTTTCACGTGTTACAGACTTCATTCAGTTTTTTTTTTCAATATTTTTTTATTATTATATTTATGTTGAAAGGGAAACAAAGCAACAAAAGAAAACTAGCTAGAAATTAAGCGAGGGAATGATTCCTTTCCTTAGCAAAAATAAAAAATAAAATGCGAGGGAATGAAACCCCAACAACATCTCTCGCAACACGCGAAAAAATACTAAAAGACACAAGCACAAACCGTTAATTTCTTTTAAGTATTAGAATGGTTTCCTTTTTGTAACATTAAACAACAAAAGATTTCCACGATTCTATTTAGCACAAAAGAGGAACGGTCAATTAACACCAGCGTAAATTCGTGGATTTAGATATAATCGCTTCATACAAACTTGTGGCTTTTGTAGAGTTGTTTATCAATATTGTCCTTTATCTTTGAGGGTAGGTCTATTTGGTCCCTCAAATATAACTCTGGGCATATTTAGTTCCTTAAGTATGCTAAAATGAAGCACCTTTAGTCTCACTGACAGAATGTGTTCGAAACTAACGGTGTTAACCAACTCTGATTCATGAAACAAATCTTCTGCTCTGAAGCAAAACGTTTCCTCTTCTTTTATTAGATAACGTTAAATTATCACTTTAATTTCTTATTTTAGATAATGCCTTCTAAAATTTTGAACTTGAAAATATCCACTTTTGTGCCAGTTTCAATGAGAAAATGACATTGTATAGCCGCTGTAAAAATAATAGCTAAAAAAATATATTATATTATATATATATATATATATATATATATATATATATGATTATTTTATATACTTTTTCGGCTACCAGATGTAAATAGTTTCTGGCACAGGCTAAAAGTGATAATACTATCCGATTATTCGTTTGCTTCAATAATATGCCTAGAAGTGATCTTGGCAGCTCTATTTTTTTCAACAGAATTTTTAAAAGTAAAAGTTTCAACGTTAAAATCTTAAATTTATCAGCTCTGTACTTTTAGTGGGTGTTGGTTTATAAAATATTTTCGATAAGTAAATTAAAAAGACGATGAGTGCCTAAACCAACCCCGTAATTAATCTTGAACAAATTCTGTCGGTGAGACTACATGTGCTCCACTTTAGCATACTTAAGGGACTAAATATGCTCAGGGTTATATTTGATGGACCAAAATAGACCTACCCTCAAAGATAAGTGACAATATTGGCCAAAAACTCCGCTTTTGTACAACAACTAACTAAAGAAATTAAATTCCATAGCTTCATTGACATTTCTTGGAATTTCAGTAATGATGTTCTATTATGATTTAATGTTTCATTCAAGTAGGAGAAATGTTGTTAACCCAGATGTTTCTCTCCAACTAGATACTAACCCCCCAGCCAACCAGGCATGGCCACATCCCCACTCCCAACTAGCGACTCCTCCATTGGAAAACCACCGGAATCTCCCAATATACACAAATAGCTCCAAACACTGCTATGGAGGAAGACAAAACAGATACAATCTCTTTCGAAGAAGTTCTACTTGATAAAGAACTGGCGTCCTCTTTAAGCTATGACCCGCTTCAATCCAGTGCCCACACACAGGCCTTTGAGTTAAATCTGGGGAACATACCAATTCCGTTGTCAATCGAGGACAAAATAAGACTATACAAACCATAATAATACTCTTTGATCATTAAACTGTTTGGGGAAAAAATCTCACACCACCTACTCAAGGCCAAACTCTCCAATCTATGGAAATCAGAGAACCCCTTACCCTAATTGACCTAGGATGGGACTTCTCCATCGCAAAATTCACCAAAGAGGAGATTATGAGCAAAGTTCTAAGTGAGGGACATGGTTTGTGGCAGGGCACTTTCTATCAATCCGCAGATGGGAGCCAAATTTTGTTCCGGCAGCATCCAAGATTGCCATAACGATGGTTTGGATAAGACTCCCACAATTGCCAACGGAAATCTATGACACGGCCATTTTAGAACAAGTAGGTAACAGAGTAGGCAAGCTTCCGAAAATTGATACCTGCACCTCTTCTACCCTAAGAGGAAGATACGCAAGAATACGCGTCCAGGTTCCTATAGATATTCCGGTAACAATGAAATTCATTATTGGCACACACATCCAAGCGCTAGTCTACGAAGGAGAAGGGATCCTTTGTACAAGATGTGGGAGAGGCCATACCTTGGGAAGCTACGAATTTCTATCAACCATCACCCAAGAAATACACACCGGCGGCACCAACAACGAAGACAACACAAAGGAACGGATCTTTGAGTGATGCACAGTCCCTTTTTCAAAACACAGACGCCATGCGCATAAGACCACCCAAGTCAACTCCCAAGTAAAGAGGTTTGATGCCTCCTCAGGTATGTTTTTTGACCCCAAACCATATTCACGCACAGATTTCGGAAACCGAAATCCAGAACAAATATGGACCATAGACGCCATGGGACCCAATGGACAATCATCACACACTGTCCACAACATAGATTCCATGGGGCCCAATGGATAGTCAAAACACACTGTCAAAAATGGGTTATAGGGGCAGTAAAATTTGGGCCTAGGCCACATCGGCCCATAACTCACCAAATCCATAAGCGAAACACACGCTAGCCCAAACAAAAGAATCTCTGGGCTAAAAAGGCAATTAGATACCTTTGATCCGTTGACCAAAGATCCCTTCCTTGGGATTATGGGATCGTGTAAGGAAAAGGGCTAAAGGTTGTGTCAGGAACAAGGGAGGGATGGAGCCCACCATCAATTTGGTAATTGCCCGCCCCCACCCTCCCCTTCCCCCCAAATCGAGTAGTATCTCAGCATCCGATTCTTATCCAGATTTGGGTAATTATACCATGAAAAATGATTCCCTTAATAAACACTCTACTGTGGGTAACCCACCCAGCCCAACAGCCCAACCACACTCTTTCCCATACTCACACTCAAACAATGAACAAACCCACCCCGACTGTACCTATCTCAATAGAGGAAATCTAACGTTTAGGGAAAATCAATCTCAACTCCTCATCAGTGAAGTGACACTGAGTGTCAATCTTCAAGATTGAGCAAAGATCTCAATTGACACAACACGAATTCCAACAGCCCCCAAATGGATTATATCTAGGCAACTGAAGAGATGCCTTCATTTCCTAGCTTAATCGGAGATCTTCCCCAAAAATCTCCCCTCAATGGCGACTCCAAACAACCCAAATTCTCCACCAAACAACCACCCTCTCACCATTTTCACACTCCCACTCCCACCAAACTTGATGCCGGAGTCATGGATGGAGATGGCCCTACAAGGCCAGTCCCAAAACTTGCAAATGATGGTTGGGCCAGTACCGATGTCCATCACAATCCAGGACTCCCGCTACTTGGCACGGTTAGCAACCCACCTTCTCCACCAGGATTTGTCCAATTTCGGCCATTAGCTATGGCTATCCACCCTCCTCCAAGCCCAGTTCATGGGCACACAACACCCCCTATCAATGGAGGAGCTCAACTCTCTCATGGGGCAACTCTGCCAAACAATGCCCTTCTTCCCATTAATGGACCTGAACACCCCTCTCCCATCACCGGCCTTCACAATGTGGCCACAAGTGAACCAACCCACTCCCCCACCAGTGAACCAACAAACTCCCCCACCAACAAATCAGGCTGCAGCCATGAACATGCTAATAAAGGAGAAGAACCAAACCCTAGTCTACCTCAAAGAATCCAACGCAGACCTAGAAAACATCTTGGAAAAGCTAGGGGTCCCAAAAACAACAGTCCTCCTCATGCAGGAAGCCATGGTGGTCGTGTTCAAAGAGCTATTTGGAGAAATGCTTATTGCTCTCTGCCACCAGAAAGCTAGTAAGATACAAACTAATCTCCAAGCTTAGGGAACTCGTCAGTTGCAATAAGCCCCGTGTTAGGAGGATTGAAATCAACCCCAGTGGGAAAAGGGAAGGGACTCAAGAGGAAAGCCCTATTTCAAAACTAGTTGCTGATGAACTTCATAATATGGATTGCGAGAGGAGCCAACAGTGCTAAATTCCGCATACACTACGCCTCCATGATGAAGCTACACAAGCCAGCAATTCTTGTCCTTCTTGAGAAAAGAATGGCTGACCACACGCACTTAACTGCTGAGCTTCAGTTCACATCTCAATTCCAATCCTCTGTTGTTGGCCAATCAGGAGGAATAGTAGTTATGTGGAAGGAAGACCTAGTGAAGCTTGAAGAGGTCTGTACCACACCCCAGGGTGTGCATGTCTCAACCACCCTAAATGGTTTTTCTCTGCTATCTATGCTAGTACACACTTACAGGATAAAATTAGTTTATGGAAGTCCTTTGAGGACATGGCCTCTATTTATAAAGGAAGCTAGCTTGTAGGAGGTGACTTCAATGAAGTCCTAAAATTTAGAGAAAAGTATTGGGGGAATAACATTGGTACAAATATAAGCAACCGTTTCTGGAGTTGTTTAAACCATTTCAAATTAGTTGACTTAGGCTTTAAAGACTCAAAGTACACATGCACCAACAAGAGATACACCAACAGGTATGACCTAATCCTTGAAAGTCTGGATAGGTGCTTTGCCACCGAGGACTGGATTAAGTCATACCCAGAAGCCTCAGTTGCCCACCTCCTTAAGACCCATTCAGACCACAACCCTCTTTTTCTAAGCATTACTAGTTGTCATCACAGTGATCATAGTAGACCATTTAGGCTAGAGACAATATGGTGTGGCCACCCTGACTTTCCCAACATTATGCAAAAACAGTTTCACCTTTACTAATGACCTGTTGGGAGATACCAACACTTTTAAGGCAAATCCACATGGAATATGGTAGTGTGGGAACATCTTCCACAAAAAGTTCAGAAAGCTAGTGCTTATCCATTCAGCGCCTTCCT